ACAGGAGGAAAGTTCCTCATTCCACAGGGGAAGGATGCTGGGAGACAGAGGGCAGAAGATGGTGAGCAGCGTCGGGAAGATGTTTCTGGCATTCAAGGCTGCACCTTCCGAGTCCTGGCGGTACTATAACAAATGAATTCACCCCATTATTCCGGGAGGCCAAGGCAGGCAGAGCACTTGGGCCCAGAAATTTCAGATCAGCCTGGACAACGCGGTGAGACCCCGTCACTATAAAAAACATTTAGTCAGGTGTGATGCGCCACGCCTGTATTCCCAGCTACTCGGGAGGCTGAGGTGAGATGAACTCTTGAGACTACAGTGAGTCATAATCTTGTGCCACTGCACTTCAATCTAGGTGATAGAGCAAGACCCTTTCTCATTAAATAAATAAATAAATAAATAAATAAATAAATAAATAAATAAACTCTGCCGCCGGGGTTGGGCCGGATTCCTACCCTCCACAAGCTAATATAGATGCACATCACGTCTTGCTAGCACAGTGCTGCAGAGGCTGCCACTACGTGCGCTGGATGCTGATTGGCATGGGCAAGTGGCTCTGTAAGAGGAGTAGTAGCAGTGGAGGAGTGGAGATAGGGAAGAGGAAAAAAGAAGGGGAGAAGTAAATGAGAAGAGGAAAAGGAAGACAGAAAAAGGGAGGAGGAAACAAGAAGAACAAGAGCAGAGGAGGAGAAAATGAGAAAAAGATAGTAAGAACAGAGGAAGTGGAGAAAAAAAATCAGAGGGGGACAATGGAATCAGGAGAAGAGAGGAGGAAAAGGAAGCTGGGACAAAGAGAGGAGAAGGAGAGAGGAGGAAGAAAAGAGAAGGAGGAAGAGGAGGAAAAGAGAAGGAGGAAAAGAGGAGGACTAGAAGGAGAGGAGGAGAGTAAAAGGAGGGAAGGAGGAAGAGGAGTAGGAGAGAAAGAGGAGAAGAAGGATGGGAGGAGAAGGATGAAGAGGAAAAGAAAAGGAAGAGAGGGAGTAAAGGAAGAGATGAGAAGGAGGAGAGGAGAAGGAGGAGAGAAAAAGAGAGGAGCAGAGGAGAGGAGGATGAGGAGAAAAAGGAGGAGGGGAGAAGGAGAAGAACAGGAGGAGAAGAGGGAGAAAAGGAAGAGAGGAGGAGGAGGGGAGGAGGAGGATGAGAGGAGGAAATAAACAGGGAAGAAGGAGAGAAGGAGAAGAAGGAGGAAGTAGGGGAGGATGGGAGGAGGAGAGGAAGAGGAGAAGGAGGAGGAGAGGAAAAGGAGAAGTAGGAAAGGAGATGGAGGGGAAGGAGGAGGAGAAGAGGAAAGGAAAAGAAGGAGAAGAGAAGAAGAGGAGGAGGAGGAGCAGGAGATGAGAAGGAGAGGAAAAGGAGGAGAGGAGGAGGAGAAGAAAAGGAGGTGAGGGGAAAATAGGAAAATAAGTAGAAGAGGAGGAGGAGGTGGAGGAGGAGAGGAGAAGAAGGAAGAGAGGAGGAGGAAGAGGAGAGAGAAGGAGGTGGAGAGGAGAAATGGAGGCGGAATAGGAGAGAAGTAGGAGGAGGGAAAAAGAAGAAGGAGGGGAGGATGAGAGGAGAAGGAGGAGCAGGAGAAGAGGAGATGGAGAGGAGAAAAAGGCAAGGAGGAAGAGAGAAGGAGGAGGAGAGGAGGAGAAAAGGGGGGAGGAGATTGGGGGGACTAGGAGAGGAGAAAAAGGAGGAGGAGAGTAGAAAGAGGAGTAGGAGGAGGACAGGAGAAGAAGGAGGAGGAAAAGGAGAGCAGGAGAGGAGAAGGAGGAGGAGTGGAGGAGGAAGAGGAAACATGGAGAAGGAGGAGGGGAGAAGTAGGAAAAGCAGAGGAGGAAGAGAGGAAAAGAAGGAGTGGAGGAGGAAGAGGAGATGAAGAGAGGAAGAGAAGGAGGAGAGAAATTGCAGGAGGAGGAGAGGAGGAGGGAGGAGAGGGAGACGAGAAGGAGGAGTAGGAGGAGAAAAGGAGAGAAGAAGGAAAGGACAAGGAAGAGGAGAGAAGGAGGAGGAGAGGAGGAGGAAGAAAAGGAAAGGAGGAGAGTAGAAGAGGAGGAGTTGAGGAGAGGAGGCAAAGTAAAAGATGAGTAGTAGTAGGACGAAAGGTTTAGGGGGAAAAGGAGGAGAGCAGAATGAGGAGGAGAAGAGGATATGAGGGGGAACAGAGTAGGAGATGAGAAAAAGGAGGAGGAGAAGAAGAGAAGGAGGAGGAGGATGAGAGCAGAAGGAGAGGAGAAGGAGGAGGAAAGGAGAAAGAGGAGAAAGAAAGTAGAAGGAGAGGGAGGAGGAAGAAAAGAGTAGGAGAAGGAGAGGAGGATGAAATAAAGGATAAAATGAGAGGAGGAGGAGAGGAGAAATGGAGGAGGACCAGTGGAAGAGGAGGAAGAGAGGAGGAGGAAGAGGAAATGGAGAAGAGGAGAAGAGGAGAAGTGGGAGGAACAGTGGAGGAGGAGGAGAGGAGGAGAAGGAGGAGGGGAGAAAGAGGAGAAGAAGAGAAGTAGGAGAAGGGGAGAAGGAGGAGGAGAAAAAGAAAAGGAAGAGGGGGGAAAGGAGAAGGAGGAGGAGTAGAGGAGGAAGAGGAGAGAAGGAGGAGGAGAGAAAGATGAGGGAAGAAAAGGAGAGGAGGAGGAAGAGAGAAAGAGGAGAAGATGAGGAGAGGAGGAAGAGGAGGAGACAAAGAGGAGAAGAGGAGAAAAAGGGGGAGGAGGGGAGGAGTAGAGAGGAAGAGGAGAGGAGGAGAAGGATGAGGGGAGGAGCAGAAGAGGAAGAGGAAAGGAGAAGATGGAAAGGAGGAAGAGAAAAGGAGGAGATGAAAAAAGTTATTAATTTGTGGTGTTTAGTAATGATGACTATTTTCATGGCTTTTGGATTAAAGTTTAAACTCAATAGGAGAGATGGGCACAAAGATCCAGATAATTTCAGAGCTCAATTTCAGAGCTAAAAAAAAAGATATGTGGTAATACACCTGTGGACATTGTCAACGCAAAAGAGTTGCATTATTTTGGTTTTGGATCCAGCCATATTTCTCCAGACACAATATATGTAGTGCTCAGGAGAGAGCAGGGTGCTGGGCCCAGTGATACATCGCAATCTCTTCTTGGGCAGAGTTCAAACAGTAGAGGAGAGTCACACCACCGAGGTTCTAGGTCCAGCAATACATCACAATACTTTCTGAGAGGAGGACCAAAGCAGGAGAGCCACATCACCTAAGTCAGAGCCCCAGAGATACGGCACAATGCCTTCTGTAGGTAGGGCTCAGGAAGAAGAGGAAAGTGACATAACCTAGGGGCTACCGCCAGCTATATGTCACAATCACCCCAAGGGGCAGGGACAGTGCATGAGAGGAGGGTCACATCAAGTAGGTGCTGAGCAAAGCAATATGTAACAATCAGAGAAGAGTGTCATCTCCTACATGCTGGGCCATGAGATATGTTACAACATCCCCTATGGGCAAAGCCCAGGTAATAGAAGAGATTTACATCAAATAGTTGATGGGCTAAGAGACACTTCACAATGCCCCCTGTAGAAAGAGACTAGGAGAAATAAATCCAGTTGCCTGTGTGCTGGGCCCAGGGAAAAGTCAATTTTTCATCTGTGGACATGGCCCAGGCAGATGAGGAGAGTCACATCATTTAGATGCTGGGCACAGAGATATGTAACAATCTCTTCTATAAGCAAAACCCTGGTAAGAAAAAAAAGACACATCAAATATTTTATGGACCCAGAGATATGTCATGATGTTTCCTCTTGACAGAGTCAAGGCAAGAAAGTCACATCACCTTGGTCCTGGGCCCAGCAATAGGTCAAAATGCCTTCTGAAGACAGGGACAAGACAAATGAGTAACATCTTAAAGCTGGGCCCAACATATGTGCAAAAATCTCCCCTGTGGGCAGAACCTAGGAAGAAGAGAAGTGTCACATTAGCTAGGTGCTGAGCTCAGAGATATGTCACCCTCTCTCCTGTGAGCAGAAACCAGGCAAGGGTACATTACCTGGGTGATAAGTGCAGAGAGATGTCACCATCCCCCCTTTAGGCTGGGCCCAGGCAGAAGAGTCACATCACCCGGGTGTTAAAATGAGCAATATGTCAGAATGCCCCTTGTGGGCAACACCAAAGTAGGAGAGAAAACTTATATCACCTGAGTACAAGTCCCAGTGGTATGTCACAATGCCTTCTGTAAGAAGCACCAAGGCTTGAGAATAGAGTCATCTCACCTGGGTGCTGGGTCCAACTATATATCACGATTCTATTTGTGAACCGAGCCCAGGCAGGAGAGTCAAATCAGGTATTTGACAGAGGTGTGTGTCACAATCTCACCTTCAAAAAAAATCCAGGGATGAGATTATGAGTCTCTCACATGTCCTGGTTCTAGGTCTGAGAGTCAACATGTCTTGTATGTTGTGTGAAACACACGAGTCACAATCTCAATTGTGAACTGGATCTGTGCAGCAACTTCCCAATGTTTTCTGGGCATTGTGTCCCCTTAGATAAGTCAGAGCCTGACACGTGTGCTAAATGATGGTTTGAGGGTCACCGAACCCATGCATAACAAATCCATGTATGAGAGTCAACATTGCAACTCTTGACTGCCTCTAGATATAAGATTCAAAACCTCAACAGTGGGCCATGCTCATGTGAGAGGACAACAATCTTTACTCTTGACTGTGTCTCTTACTAATGTTACAATCTCACCTTTGAGGCTGGGGCTCGGTGTTAGTGGCCTTCCTCTGTACCACTCAAAGAAGTTATGAGATACATGGTTTGGCTCTATGTCCTCACCCAAATCTCATCTACAATTGTAATCTCCACGTGTTAAGGGAGGAAGGTAATTGGATCATGGGGCAGTTTCCCCTATGCTGTTTTCGTGAAAGTGAGTGAGTTCTCGGAGATCTGATGGTTTTAAGTGTTGGAAGTTCCTCCTTCATCACTTTCTCCCTCCTGCCACCTTGTGAAGAAGGTCCCTGCTTCCCCTTCTGCCATGATTATATATTCCCTGAGGCCTTCTCAGCCATGTGGAACTGTGAGTCAATTAAACCTCTTTTCTACTTAAATTTCCTGGTCTTGAGGGGTTCTTTATAGCAGTGTGAAAATGAACTAGTACAATATGATATGCATGAGAGTTGCAATCTGTATTAAGACCTTTATGCTGATATGGACCCATGATTGCATGTGTCATTCTAAGCTCAGGTGTGAGAGTCAACACTTCCCCAGTTGGCTGGGTCTAAATAGAAAAGTACTCATCTGCCTATGAGCTGGGTTTAGAAATGGGTCACTAATCTCATATGTGGCCAGACGTTAACATATGACTGACACAATTCCATCTGTAGACTGTGTCTATGCGTGAGATTCAGAATGTCACCAGTGGGTTGTGTCCATGTGTGAGGATGACTATTTTAAGGATTGGTAGAGTGTGTATACCAGAAACACAATATCTCCTGTGTCCTTGGACTTGTGATGACACTCTCTGTACCACTTGAGGGCTTTACACAATATGCAAGAGAGTGGTAAACCTCTGTGATCTTCATACAAAGAGGACACCCAGGATCTTACCTTTTCCCTAAGCCTAGTTATCTTTCTTATTGGCTAGTTCAAGGTATGACAGTCATCATCACACCTGTGAGATGGGCCAAGATATATGTCACAATACTCCTCTGGTTTAGGAGTAAGCAGGAGAGTAACATTACCTGGGTTTTGGGGCCAGATGTATGTCACAATCTTCTCTCAGGGCTCAGCAATATGTCACAACGATCTATGTACTCAAGACCCTGTCAAAAGGGCCTCATCACCTTGTTGCAGGGTCCAGTGATACGTCATAATCTTTTCTGTTGGAGGATCCAGGCAGAAAATAAGAATCACATTTCCTAGGTAGCGTATGCAGATATATATCACAAGGCCCCCTATGGGCAGTTCCCAGGCAGGAACCTCTTATTTTCTAGGTGTTGGACCTGACGTTATTTCACAATACACCAAATATTTGGGGTCTGGGATAAAGGAGTCACATCACATAGGTGCTGGGCCAAGTGATATGTTAAAAAATTATGGTGTAATACCCCTGTGGGCAGGGCTCTTGCAGAAGAGGTGCGTCTCATCGTTGTTAAGATAGGTCATATATCACAGTACACAATTTATACTGAGCTCAGGCAGGAGAAAAGAATAACATTACCTATGTGCTGGGCTCAGTGATACATCACAATACCTCCTTGGTCAGAGCCCAAGAAGTAGAAGAGAGTTACCTCACCTAGGTGCTGAGTCCATCAACATGTCACAATACTCACTGAAGAAAGGGCCCAAGAATAAGAATTCCATCATTTTTGGTGAGGGGCCAAGAGATACGTACCAACTCTTTCTGTATGTAGGGCTTAGGAGAAAAGAAAGAGTCGCATAACCTGTCACATAATCTAGACAGATGAGACCAGCTCTATGTCAAAATTACAACAGATGTCAGAGTCCAGGCATGAGAGGAGAATCACATCACATAAGTATTGGTTGAAGGGATATGCCACAATCCCCACTGGGGACCGAAGCAGAAAAATAAGGAGAATTACACCATCTAGGTAATGGGCCCAGAGATACGTTGCAGTGACCCCTGTGGGCAATGGCCAGGCAGTAGAAGGACATCGCCTGTGTGTAGGGCTTAGGGATAATTCACTCTAACTGTTGTGGGCATAGCACAGGCAAACGAGGAGAGTCACAACACCTAGGTGCTGGAATCAGAGACATTTCACAATCTCTTCTAATGGCAAAGCCCAAGTAAATGAGAAGAGTCACAGCAAATAGTTCATTAACTTAGAGATATGTCACAGGGCCCCCCTGTGGGCAAGGTCCAGGGAAGAGACTCACATCATCTTGATGCTGAGCCCAGCAATATGTCACAAAGCTTTCTGAAGTCAGGACCAAGGCAAAAGGGTAACATCACCTTATTGTTGGGTCCAGAGACATATCACAATCTGTCCTGCAAGCAGAACCTAAAAAGAATAGAAGATTCACATCAACTCAATGCTGGGCCCAGTGATAGGTCACAATATTCCCTGTGAGCAGAGATCAGGCAGAAGTGAGTCACATCACCTGGCTAATGGGTGCAGAGATGTCACAATGCCTCCTGAAGGCAAGGCCCAGGCAGGAGAGTTACATCACCTGGGTTTTGGACCCAGTAATATATCACAATGGGTCATTTGGGCAGGGTACAGGCAGGAGAATCACATAACCTGGGTGTGGGGCCCAGTGCTACATCACAATGCCTTCTGTGCACGGTGACAAAAGACAAGGGTAGACTCACATTAACTGGATATAAGGCCTAGTGACAGTGATATGTCACAGTGCTGTCTGTGGGCAGTGCCAAGGCAGTGGACTAGCGTCCCATCATGAAGGTGCTGGGTTTAGCAAGATGTCAAAATTCCATCTGTGGGATGGGCACAGGCAGAAGGGTCAAATCACTTAGTTGCTGGATAGAGGCATATGTCACACAATCTCAGATGCAGAATGATAGAGACATAAAATCAAAATTCTTGCATATGAACCAGTTCTAAGTATGGGAATCAACATCTCCTCTATGTTAAGTCTAAGTACATGAGTCACAATGTTTTTTGAGATGGGATGTCACTCTGTCACCCAGGCTGGAGTGCAGTGGCATGATCTTGGCTCACTGCAACCTCCGCCTCCCAGGTTCAAGTGATTCTCCTGTCTCAGCCTCCTGAGAAGCTGGGACTACAGGCTCACGTCATCATGTCCAGTTAATTTTTGTATCTTTAGTAGAGACGGGGTTTTACCATATTGGTCAGTCTTGTTTCAAACTCTTGACCTCAGGTGATCTACCTGCCTTAGCCTCCCAAAGTGTTAGGGTTATAGGCGTGAGCCATCACGTCTGGCCAAGTCACAATCTTAATGGACTAGGCCTTTGCATGAGAAGCTCGCTTTCTTCAGTGCACTAAACCTCCTTAGTAGAGTCACAGCCTCACAGGTGTGCTGAATCTTGATCTGAGAGTCACCAGCCCACCTGTGCACTGGATCCACATGTAACAGTCACTCTTTCAAGTTTTGACCATCTCCAAATGTGACATTCAGAACCTCAAAAGTTGGCCGTGTTCATGTGGCAGTATGGCAATATTGTCAACTGGATGTGCATACAAGTGTTAAAATCTCACCTGGGCTGTGCCTTGTTAGGAAACTCTTTGTAGCACCTGAGGGCTTTATGCATGAGAGTCTCAATATGATCAGAGACCTCCGTGCTGGTGGGACCCATGGTTATAATTTGTATCCTAACCTCTAGTCTCAGAGTCAACTTCTCTCCAATTGGCTGGGTCCAAATGAAAGTTTCCTTACCTACCAATGAACTAGGTTTAGAAATGAGTCACCGTCAACTGTAGCATATGACAGAAACAATTCCAGCTGTGGACTGTGTCAACCTGTGAGATTCAGGATCTCACCTGTGGGCTCTGTCCATGTGGAAGGGTGAAAATCCTGATGGATAGTAGGGTGAGAAACACAAACTCATTTGGATGCTGGGGTCTGTGATGACATTTTTTTCCACACTAGGGCTTTATAGAGTGTGTGAGAAAGTGGTAATTTTCTATACCTTCATAAAAGAGGACACATGGGATCTTACCTGTTTCTCTAATTCCAGCTAAAACAGACAGTGTCTTTTCTATTAGCTGGTGTGTGGTATGACAGTCACCATTGCAACTGCTGGCTGGACCAAGATATTTGTCACAGTCTTACCTGTGTGTAGGAAGCAAACAGGAGGGTCACATCACCTGTGTTCTGGGCCAGGAATATGTCACAATATTCCCTGACACAAGGGACCAGGCAGAAGAGTCACATCACCTGGGTACTCAGCCAGGAATATGTTACAATCCCCTCCTGAAAGCAGGGTGCAGGCTGCAGAGTCACCTCACCTCGGTAATGGGCCCAGTGATGTGTCAAAATGCTTTCTGTGGGCAAGGCCCAATTACAAGAGACTCATCATCTGTTTGCTGAGGCCAGCAATATGTCACTGTCTTTCCTGTAGGCAGTGTGCAGGCAGAAGAAGACAGCCACATCTCTCAGATGATGAATGCAGAGATATGTCACCAGGTCCACTGTGGACAGCCCCAGGCAGGAGCCTTCTACTTTCTAGGTATTGGGCCCAGTGATATGTCACAAAACCCAAAACATGTGGGGACCAGGCCAAAAAAAACAAAAAACAAAAAAAAAAAAAAGAGAGAGAGACTCACCTTGCCTTGATGCCGGGTCAAATGGTATATCACAATCTTATTTGGCAGGTCCCAGGCAACAAAAATGTGTCACATCTCCTAGGTGATGAATAAACAGTATCATCTAATACCCCTGTCTTCAAGGCTCATGGAAAAGAGTCACATCACCTGCTTGTTGGGTTCAGCCATATATTACTATACCCAATGTGTACTGGGCCCAGGCAGGAGAGGAGAGTAACATCCCCTAGGTCCTGTGTCCAGGGATACATCGCAATGCCTCCTTGAGCAGAGCCCAATAAGTAGAGAAGAGTCACATTACTTAGGTACCAGGTACAACAATTTGTCACAATACTTCCTGAGAGAAAGGCCTAGGCAGAAGTGTCACATCACCTTGGTGAGGTGAAGAAATATGGGGCAATGTCCCTGGCAGTAGGGCTAGAAAAAAAGAGATGCATCACATAATGTAGGGTCAGTGCTCACTTATCTGTCACAATCACACCAGTGGGCAGGGCTCAGCAAAAGTGGAGAGTAATATTATGTAGGTGCTGCAGCAAGCAATATGTCATAATTTCCACGGTGGACAGGTCCAACAAAGAAAATGAGAATCAAATCATGTAGGTCATGAGCCCAGAGATACGTCACCATGGCCCTTGTGAGCAATAACCAGGCAGAGGAATGACATTGCTTGTGTGCTGGACCCAGTGATAGTTCATTATTCCTTCTGTGGGCCTGGCACAGGCGAAAGAGAAGAGTCACAACACCTAGCTGCTTGGCCCAGAAATATGTCACTACTTCTTCTATGGGCAAAGTCCACGTAAAACAGCAGAGTCACATCAAATAATTGATGCAGCCAGAGATATGTCATAATGCCTTCTGTTGGCAGGGCCCATGCAAGAGAGTCTTAACATCTAGATGTTGGACATAGCCATATGTCACAATACACAATGTATTCAGGGCTCAGGCAAGAGATGATAGTCACATCATTTAGGTCTTGGATCCATGAAAACATTACAATTATTCCTCGAGCAAAGGCTAAGCAGCAGAGGAGAGTCACACCACCTAGGCTTTAGGTCCAGCAATACCTTGCAATGACCCCTGAGAGGATGGCCCAGGTAAAAGGGTAGCATCTTGTACATGAGAGGTCTAGAAATATGTCACAATTCTCTGTGTGGGTAAAGAACAGAATGAAGAGGGAAGTTATATAACCTAATAAGTGGGCTGATCTATATGTCACAATCACTCTAGCGGGAAGAGCTCAAACACAGGGGGAGGGCTGCACCACACAAGTGCTGCATATTTTGCAATACAGAATGTATGCAGAGCCCAGAAAGGAGAGGACAGTCACATCCCCTAGGTACTGCTCCCAGCAATACATTACAATCTCCTCTAGGGCAAAGCCCAAGCAGTAGAGGTAATCCTTGCTGCTGGACCCAAAAATATGGCACAATACACCCTGAAAAAGGTCCCAGGCAGAAGAATCACATCGCTTCAGGAGGGTTCCAGCAATATGTCAAAATGCCTCCTGTGGGTAAGGCTCAGGAAGAAGAGAAGAGAAAAATAACCCAGGGGCTGGGGCCAGCCATATGTTACAACAACCTCAGTGAGCAGGGCCCAGGTATGAGAGGAGGGTCACATAACATAGACACTGTGCCAAGTGATATGTCACAAGTCACACTGTGGACAGGTCTCTAGAAATAAAGGTGCATCACATAATCCAGTTGATGGTCACAGAGATACATCACAATGTATTTATCTCTTGTCCTTATGGACAAGAACCAGGTAGAATAGTCACATCTCCTATGGACTGTGTCCAGGGATAATTTACTCTCCCTTCTGTGTATCAGAGCCCAGGAAAAAGGAGAGTCACATTATCTAGGTGCTGGGGCCAGAGATATGTCACAATTTCACCTGCTGGCAAATACCAAGTAAGAGAGGAGAGTAGCATCAAATAGATTATGGGTCCAGAAATGTGTCACAATTCCCCTTGTAGGCAGAATCTAGGCAGGAGACTTACATCACCTGGGTTTTAGACCTAGAAATACATCACAAGATGCAATTTGGGCAATGTCAAGACAAAAGAATAAAAAACATATACTCTAGGTGCTAGGTGCAGAAATATGTCACAATTTCATGTGACATTCCTGGACCTAACACCTAGGGTATATGTCTTTATTGTGACATCCTCACTCAAGTGCTTGGAAGAAGTGCATGTCACAATCAGAGCTGTAGGTAGGTTCGAGGATAAGATTAAAAATCTTACACATGTCCCTATGAGCGCAAACACCTCTTGTATGTTGGGTCTAAGTACAAAATTCCCAATATAAACAGTGGACTGAATCTGTGCCTGAGAACTTCAATCCCTTCTTTGGACCGTATCTTATTCATGGAGTAATAGCCTCACAGGTAAGTTGAATCTTAGTCTGAAATTCACCAACCCACCTGGGAATTGCATCCAAGTATGAGAGTCAATTATCCAACTTTTAACTTCCTCCTAATGTGAGATTCAGAACCTCAGCAGTAAGCTGAGTTCATGTGCAAGAATGAAAATCTTTACTATGAGCTTTGTGTGCATAAGAGTGTCACAATCTCACCTGGGCTAGAGATATGTTACAATCTCCTGAAAGCAGGACACGGGCAGCAAAGTCACCTCACCTGGATGCCGAGCCCAGCAGTAAATCACAATGTTCTCTGTTAGCAAGGAACATGAAGGAGAGACACATCACCTGGGCTTCTGGGACCAGTGATACATCACAATCTCCCCTGAGGCAAGAACATAAAAAGAAGAAGAAGAGTCACATCAGCACGGTGCTGGGTCAGTCATAGGTCACAATCCCCTCTGTGAGCAGGAACCAGGCAGGAGAAGTGAGTCCCAACAATGTCCCCTTTGGACAGTGTCAAGGCAGGATAATAGGGTCATATCACCTAGGTGCTCGGTTCAACAATAAGTCACAATCCTGTATGTGGGCTGGGCCCAGACTACAGATCAAATCACTCAGGTGCTGGCCAGAGGCATATATCACATTTACACCTGTAGGAAGGTCATAAAATGATATTTACAATTCAGCACATGTCCTGTTGCTAAGTATGTAGTTAACACCTCATGTATCTTGGGTGTAAGTACATGAGTTCATCTCAACAATAAACTGGATCTGTGCATGAGAGGAACATTCCTTCCTGTGTGCTGTTTTATCTGAGTGAAGTTACAGCCTCAAAGGTGTGCTGAATATTGGTCTTAGAGTCATCAACCTACCTGTGGATCAGATTCACATATGAGAGTCAATTTTCCAATGTTTGACTGCTTTTTGTTGTGAAATCCAGAGCCTTAACAATGAGCTGTGTTCATGTGGGAAGAGGACTATTGGAGGAACCAGCCCCCAATATTTTAACATAGGTTCTTTCTATTTTCCTTGTCAGCAAGTTTTTATTAGGGATTTTAAAAGGGGAGGGGATATACCCAAAGGATTATACGTCATGCTGCTATAAAGATACATGCACACGTATGTTTACTGCGGCACTATTCACAATAGCAAAGACTTGGAATCAACCCAAATGTCCATCAGTGACAGACTGGATTAAGAAAATGTGGCACATACACACCATGGAATGGTATGCAGCCATAAAAAAGGATGAGTTCGTGTCCTTTGTAGGGACATGGATGCAGCTGGAAACCATCATTCTCAGCAAACTATCTCAAGAACAGAAAACCAAACACTGCATGTTCTCACTGATAGGTGGGAACTGAACAATGAGATCACTTGGACACAAGAAGGGGAACATCACACACTAGGGCCTATTGTGGGGAGGCGGGAGGGGAGAGGGGGAAGGAGGGAGCGGGGGAGGGGAGAAGGGGAGGGGGAAGGGATAGCGTTAGGAGATATACCTAATGTAAATGACAAGTTAATGGGTGCAGCACACCAACATGGCACATGTATACATATGTAACAATCCTGCATGTTGTGCACATGTACCGTAGAACTTAAAGTATAATTTTTTAAAAAAAGGGGGGGGGAAGGATGCACGAACAGGGAGTAGGTCACAAAGATCACATGCTTCAAAGGGCAATAAAGATCACAAGGCAAAGGCAAAATTAGAATTACTGATGAGGATCTATGTCCCGCTGTGCACATATTGTCTTGATAAACATTTTAATAGGAAATGGGGTTCAAGAACAGATAACCAGTCTGACCAAAATTTACCAGGCTGGAATTTCTCAATCCCAGCAAGCCTGAGGGTAGTGCAGGAGACCAGGGCATATCAGTAGCTAAGACAGACAGTATCTTTCATACTGGCTGGCTCAAGTTGTAAGAGTCATTATGACACCTGTAAACTGAATGAAGACATATGTGACAATCCCACAACTGGGTAAGGAGGGAGTGAGCAGGAGAATCACATCACCTGGGTGCTGTGCCAGAGATATTTACAACCTTCTCTGAGGGCAGTGACCAGGCAGGAGAGTCACATCATGTTGTTGCTGGGCTGGAATTATGTCATAATTTGTTCTGAGAGTAGGGACCAGGCAAGAGAGTCACAGTACCTGTGTTTTTAGCCAGAGATGTTATAATCCCCTCCTGGAAGCAGGACTAAAGCAGCAGAGTCCCTTCACCTGGTTGCTGGGCCTAACGATGTGTCATAATGTCTTCTGTGGCTAGGCCCAATCAGCAAAGGCACATTACCAAGTGCTGGCTCCAGTGATGTGTCTGTCACAATGCTTTTGGCATGGCCCAGGCAGAAGAGGAAATTTGAAACACCTAGGTGATGAAGAAAAAGACACACAATAATAACCTTGTGGGCAGACCCATGCAGGAGAGTCACATCACCTAGGTGTTGGATCCAGCCATATTTCACAATACACGATATACGTGGGGCCCAGGCAGGAGAGGAGAGTTACATCACAAGCTTACTGGGCTCAGTGATATGTCACCATCTCCCCTGTGCACCGGGTGCAGACAGAAGAGGAGAGTCACATTTCCTAAGTGATAGATGTAGTGATATGTTACAGGTCTTCTATGGCCAGGGCCCAGGCAGGAGCCTTTTATTTTCTAGATGTTTAGTGCAAAAATGTGTCACAATATCCTAAATATCCGGGGCCCAGACAAAAGAAGAGTGTCATGTCACCTAGAGTTTGTGTCCAGTAATATGTCACAACCCCCACTTTTTGTAAGACCCAGGCAGAAGAGGAGAGACACATCACATAGGAAACAGACATAAAAAATATATTAAAATGCCTTTGTGAGCAGGACTTACGTGAGATAGTAGCTATCACCTAGGTGTGATAACATGCAATATGTCACAACACACAATGTATGCAGGGCCCAGGCAGGAGAGGAGAGTCACATCACCTAGGTGCGGAGCATATCAACACATAAAAATTCCTTATTGGTCAGAGTCCAAGATGTTGAGAGGGTCGCATCACCTAAAAGCTTGGTTCAGCAATATGTCACAATACCCTCTGAGTGAAGACCCCAGGCAGGACAGTGAGTCACATCACTTAGCTAAGAGACCCAGAGATATGTTACAATGCTTTTTCTGACAAAGTTCCAGGCAAAAGAAACACATCATCTGGTTTCTGGATCCAGTGATATGTCACAATTCTTTCTGTGGTCTGGGTGCAGGCAGAGGTGAGGAGTCACATTTTCCAGGTGTGACGTCACAATGCCTACTGTGGGGATGATCCAAGCAAGAAACTCAAATCACCTTGGTAATAGTCCAAGCAATTTGTAATAGTGCCTTTAGAAGCAGGGATAAGGCAAAAAGTGACATCACTTCGGTGTTGTGTCCAGTGATTTGTCACCATGCTTCCTATAAACATTACCAAGGCAGAACAGGAGACTCACATCACCTGGGGGCAAGGCCTACCAGTACGTCACAATGCCCCTGTGGATATTGTTAACGAAAAAGAGTAGAGTCACATCACCTAGCTGAACACGGTATCTTTTTTCAAGCTTAAACTTTCTAAAAGGTTAGCAGTGTTCTCTCTAAAACACAGAGCTGCTCACATTACAGCCCTGCTCCAAATCCCATTTGATGGCTCATAACAGCCTACACAGCTGAGTCGTTATCCATTTTCCTAAGGCCAAACATCTTTTATCATGTCAACGCTACACAACACTCCCAAATGATATTCTCTTGTCACACTCTACTTCTTGTCCTACCCTGCGCTCAAATAAGTCTCATATTTTAATACTTCAAGTCCTGTACTTAAACTGCTTTTTTGCCCAAATTTGCATTTATTCTTTCCCGCATTCTTCTTCTACACATGAAAAACCTGCATATTTGAGGGTATCACCTTTTCTTTCCACTGCAGCTTCTCACTTGTCGATTCTCCACTTGTTCTTGCTGGTTGTGAGGCACTGGTGAATTTTAGAACTAGAACCATATTATATCCATCATTGTAGTTCTAGAGCCTGGTACCGGGTGTAGGTGTCAAAGAATGGTTCCCAATGCAAGCTTGCTGAAAGTGATATTCAACAGATGAGAAAAGAAAGAAGCCAGAATGCTGGTCTACTCATCCAGATTGCTTTTCACTATTGTTTTGCTGAAACTCTCCCAATGTCATGAGAAAAATAACTGATAATAATACTAGTAGTAAATACAGAAGATAAGTCAGTTAAAATTGAGCTGGTAACATGCATGACTTCAATTCTCTATTTATTCCTAGTTTCAAAATAGTCCTTATCCACAGGTAGGAAGAAACAGGAAACAGACCCTCAAGTGCCTATCACAATGCAAGACCTGCCAATTTCATAACTTGCTCAGGTACCCTCATAAAAGAAGTTAGGCACACTGGTGACCCCATCTCAAACACATTCAAAAAAGACAGGTCTTCCTCTCACTGTCCTCCAGTACATGTGGCTCCTGCTTAAAAAGCAGAACAACAAAGAAATCATACTTCCCAGAGGCTATCACAGTTGATCTTGGACAAATCTTTAGATTAGGTGTGTAGTCAAGTCAATTCAATTGTTGCCCTTCCTTGGCTCATATCATATGTTATGAACTTCTTAGGATCATCCCAATGCAAATTCTGGAGCAAAACTTTGAGTTTCTTTATTATGTAAAGTAACAATAACCTATTATAACAAGCCAATAGACCTATTCTCAAGGCGTTGGCCCTACCCAAAGCAAAACTAAATTTCCCAAACACTTATGAGTTTACAGCTTCAAATCTCTTCAAAAGTAGGCTTCATATGAGTCCTTGAACAGGGCTCATCACTTTCAGTGAGGTTAAAAGTGGGTGTCCACAAAAAAGGTTTCAAGAGATAAGAGAGTTCCCCACTACCCACCACACAGACCAGCAGATCGCAGAGTCCATGCCCACCCTTTTTCACTTCTGGAATATTTCCCCCCATGTGAAAGACCACCTGTTTTTCACACACTATCCTTTCCAATGAGAACATAGTAAAAATTTGATCCTTGATAGGCTTTGTTCAGGGTTTCACTCTACTTTCCCAGTGGGTCTCAGTCTGTCAGCATTCTGCTTTAGTGTTTTGTTGAACTCCCCCTCTTTAAGGCCACACAAATCCAAGTCAGTCAGTTCATGTACTAACACGACCTCTGCAAGCCCCTCAGTCCACAGAACACCAGTCTCCATTCCTGATCATCACACAAGAGAAGGTCTAACTTATGTCCTCAAATATTAGCTAAAATCAGCTGTTGAATAGGTTAGCTGTGATTTATTTCTGGAAACCAGAACCCTGTCCTGGCACACTTACACTTTTTCCTTGGTGTGCCCATCTTTTCCCTTGATGTGCCTAACGGGGAGA